CTGGGAATGGTGAAGAGCCCCCACCTAAGCTTGGGACCCTACGTGACTTGCTCAAGAAAAGGCGTCTATGGCGGAACTAGGAAATGAACCCAAATCTCTTGCCCCCACCTAATGCCTTAACCACAAGACCAGCCTTTTTCCACATGCTGAGGACACAGCTGGGAGGGTCCTTCCAGCTGTCCATCCCACCCAGGAATGCTGCGGTAGCGACAACCTGTTCAGAATTGGGAACCCTGACAGGACTCACTTCTTGCCTTTACCAGCCCCCGTGAAAGTTACGTGTCTAAGCAAACAGACTTCATCGATCCCTAAAGGCGACGAAGACCTTGAGAGGAGTCGAGAGCGTGTGACCACCACCACTAACCGATTCTTCCACACCCAGGTCTGTGCCCTGCCTTTCACCTTTCAGCAGCAGCTATCACGGAGCAGCGCTGTGTTCTAAAGATCACTGAATGTGCCACAGGACCAGAGCTGCTTCCTGCTGCAGGCTAGGGTCTCTAAAGGACACTCTGTCCTTGCTCACTCGTAACATTCACGCATGGCCAGTCTCCTGTCCTAGTCTTTGGGCACATACCCTAGGAGGCCTGGCTCCTGTTCCGACTGCCACAGTGCACCCTTCGCCAGGGCTCGTGGAGAGCCTCCAGCGAGGCCAACTACAGAGAGCTCATTCTCCAAAGGCCAGCTGGCGAGAACCGCGGGATCATTGTGGAGTCACCATCCCTAGGCAGAAGCAATGCAGGATGCCAGAATCCTGCAGCTAACAGTGGGGACCTGGGCCCTCTCTGTGTTGTCTGAGTGGGGTGCTCATACCGGTACTTACGGCTGGAAGCCAAGTGGAGCATTTGGCTACAGCACCTGCCCGTTAACTTCTGCTCTTGTTTACTCCAGATTGACCTGGGGGAACGTCCACCTCAGCCAGACGTGCCACCATGGAGACAACAAAGCAAAGTGCCCCTGGGTGACAAACATTTAAACGCCTGTTTCTTCAGCACGACGCAGCACTCGGACTATCAGCCGCCACCCAAGAGCCAGAGGGAGACGTCCAGCAGCAAGAGCCACCTCGAGAGCCACGTGCCCTTTAATTATCCCAGTAAGGCGAAGTCCCTTAGACCCTAGAGCGGCTCCCAACCCTGGGACATGTCCCAGGAGCAGCTTCAGGCTGCTGTGCCAGCCGGGTGCTCTCGGCTGCTCCTTGCATGAGATCCTGGTGCTCTGCCCCTGCCAGTCACTCTGCCTGCAGCGGGGTGAGCTGGGTATCGAAGCGATGGGCGTGTTTGGGTGGGAGGCTGCAGGCCTGTGCTGCACTGCGATGGGGGTTGTCTTTGTCTACAAGAATGGGACAGTGACCCCAAAAGCCAGGCAGGGAACTTGTGCTAGCACAGCGCCTGGCAGTGCTGGTCAGCACTCCCAGGGACTGGCAGGTGGATGTTAATCTGGAAGGCTGGCCACCTCCCCAGAGGAGCAGTGTCGAAGTGCTCAGAGACCAGAAAGGTGCCACCTGTGTGAGCCTCAGGGTTGCACTGCCATCTTGTGGGTGGCTTGTAGCATATGCCGTTGGACTCGAGCCAGACACTCGCTCTTCTCTTCCTCTTGCTGGAATTTCCACAGCTGACTTCCAGAAGCAAAGGCCTTCTCTCTCTCGCTGGGTTGGAAGAGGTAGTGGAGTGTGTGAATTATAAGCTTTGTTTGTGCAGTCCCAGGCCGGGATTTATACGGGGCTTTGTGTGGAAGAGGCTAAAAAGATCCCCTCTAACCTCTTGGTTCTTTGCTCTGGAATCTACTGAGAGAGAGAGAGAGAAAGTGTGTGTGTGTGTGTGTGT